GGGATGGATGGTATGGGGAAACAAAGGAGGAAGTAACAATGCTTAAATATACTCACTATCTTGCCCATGTAATTGTAACCCCTCTGTATGGTATTTTGACAATAATAATACACACACACACACACACATATAAAGCATATTTACACCAGGTATGGTGGCACATACCGGTGGTCTCAGCTACTTGGGAAATTAAGGCAGTAAAATCACAATTCAAAGCCTGATTAGATTTTTTTTGGTGGGGGAGGGGTCTGTCGCTCGGCTTGAACTCTGGGCCTGGGCGTTGTCCCTGAGCTCTTCAGCTCAAGGTGAGCACTCTATCACTTGAGCAACAGCACCACTTCCGGTTTTCTTTCTTTCCTTCCTTCTTTCTTTTCTTCTTTCCTTCCTTCCTTCTCCCCCACTCTCTCTTTCATTTTTGTCAGTCGTGGGGCCCAAACTCTGGGCCTGGGCGCTGTCCCTGAGCAGGTTAGCTCAAGGCTAGCGTTCTACCTCTTGAGCCACAGCGTCACTTCCAGCTTTTTCTGCTTATGTGGTGCTGAGGAATCGAACCCAGGGCCTCATGCATACAAGGCAAGCACTCTACCACTGAACCACCTTCCCAGCCCCACTTCCAGTTTTCTGAGTAGTTTATTAGAGATGAGAGTCTCACAGACTTTTCTGCCCGGGCTGGCTTTGAACCTGGATCCTCAGATCTCAGCCTCCTGAGTAGCTAGGAGTACAGGTGTGAGCCACAGGTGCCTGGCTTGACTAGACTATCTAGGGAGTTCATAGCCTGTCTGAGCAACTTTGAGAGAAAGCCTTTCTCAAACTGTGATAATAAAAAAGTCTGAGAATGTAGTGCTGTAGTGAGCATTTGCATTACATGCATAAAGCCCCAGGTTCAACTCCAGTATGACAAGTAAAATGAAAACATACTCTTTGATAAAATGAATTCAGCTAAATGCTGAACTGCTGCAATGATTGTTTTCTTATTATTTACACTGATTTCTGCCTATTTGTCCTACCTGCTCGTCCTATACTTTGTGTGTATGTGTGTGTGTCAGTTGTGGAGCTTGAACTCTGGGCCTTAGTGTTGTCCCTGAGCTCTTCAGCTCAAGGCGAGCACTCTATCACTTGAGCCACAGCACCACTTCTGGTTTTATGGTGGTTAATTGCAGATAAAGAGTTTCATGGACTTTCCTGTTTAGGCTGGCTTTGACCTGTAATCCTTAGATCTCAGACTCCTGAGTAGCTAGAATTATAGGCATGAGCTACCAGGGCCCAGTTTGTCTTATAATTAATTCTAAGAAATCATTCAGATTACTCCCTCTTTCTTTGAATTTTGAGCTTAGATGTCATGTAACTCCTTTCCTCTGTAAATCAAAATATAAACTTTTGTCCGTATTACGTGTTGTTAATTTTGTCAACCATTTTTGTTTATTGCTTCTCTTTAAACCATCAGGGTTCTCCTTTGTTTTAGAGCATGCTCTTTAGAATCTTGAACTAAAAAAGTTGTTCCTGAGTGTGCTGTATATGACGGCACTGTTCCTCATCATTCAGATACAGTCTAGTTAATTCAGTGTGTGGAATTTCCTTTCCTGATTGTATCATTAGTATTATAGTAATCTAGCCACACAACAACAAACACCTGGTTATCTTTTCCACTTACGTTTCCCACACTAAACATCACTAGTCAACCACACCTTTTTTCTCTGGGGCTCATTTCAAGGTACTATTTAAGAAACTATGATTGCAATTAAAATTCAGTCTCTTATTCCTGGTACATTACATTAGCTTTATATTTCTATTATTTAAAAAAAAAAGTGACACTGGGCTTTGAACTCAGGGCCTTGCTACTTGAGCTACACCCAGCCTCCCTTTTTTCCTTTAGTTATTTTTTAGATATGGATTCATCCTTTAAAAATTTATTTTAATTTTTTTTATTATCCTCAAGTAGTTGTACAAAAGGTTTTTAATTAACATGTTACATTTATGAGTACAATGCATCTTCATCAATGTCACCCCTTTTATCTTTCTCCCCCATCTCTCCCAAATCCTCCTTTCTCTCAACTTGCTAAGCTTCATTTTCACAGATGTAATATACATTGAATATAATGACTACATTTTAGCTGGGGTTGGCTTGGATCCTTATCTTCCCACCTATGCCTTCCACATAGTTGGGATTATAGACATGAACCACCCACCACATGTGGCTGTTCAGAAGGAAGTCTGCTTTTTGCCCAGACTGGTCTCAAACTGTAAACCTCCTGATCTCATCCTCCTAAGTAGCTAGGAGTACAGTGTAAGTAACTGTAGCCAGTCTGATTTGATTTTTGCATTTAATTCTAAAGAGTTAAAATCAAAATAGTGATTTTTTCACTTGTTCTTTTCCATAGTACATACTTTTGTAACCACAGAATCAAGAAAAGTTAAAAGAAGAGATCACCTGTATTACAATAGACATTCTGAACTTTCTATACATCACTATTAAATTTTTAACAGCTTTGTTGAGATATATTAACTCATTTAAAGTATTTTTGTATAATCAGAATTGGATTAGCATTATGAAGTCCCTATTAAATTTGTTATTTGGGGCCAGAAGCATGGCTCAGTGATAAGCACTTCTATAACAAGTGCAAGGCCCTAAGCTCAAACTTCAATATCACCAAAAAAATTGCTATTTTTTCTAACTTTCGTAAATCTCATATTTCTGACACTTGGATTGCTTATTCTCACTGACGCACATAGTCTCTTATTTCTTTGTTCAAATGACACAGGAAAGGGTTAAGCCCATTGTTGAAATTGAAGCAATTCCATTCAGCAAAATTTAACTCTTTTAAGAGAGAATTAATTAAATAATTGGCTATCATAGGCGTAGAAGCACATCCAATGGGATACCAACCAACGCTACTATTGACAGCATGAAAAACAAAAACAGTCTTTGACACGCAATTGGTGAGCCGCAAGTGCAGCTGGCTTTACCTCTTCCACATGTTCTCAGACTGAGAGAGGTTTTCTGAGTCCTGGAATTTGGCTAATGTCGGATAGAAAAATCTCCTGGTCTGCAGTTTAAACCTCACATTCCTACTCACTCCCTATTCATCTCCTACTGATTGATCCATTTATTATAAGATCAGGGAAAGGTTTGTTCTCCGAGATTCTGTAACCAGGGAGATAATTCGCTGATCTCATGCTTCATGGCACATAATAGGCTATTCTATTATACATATACATATGCATCCACATATATATGTGTATAGCCTATCTGCCTTGATTATATACTTGTTGAATGAATGAATGCTTTCCACAAAGATTTCTAATGGGCTTCAAGACTGCTTGTAGTACTAGTACTTGGCAGTAAGTGTCAACTGCTATTCCACAATCCTTAGATGAAATAGCTACTTCTTTCAGGAAGCCCCCTTGATCAACTGTACTGTTAGGCACTCCAGATTCCTTCTCCCTTTCACATGATTCTTATTATTTATGTTTATTTGTATTCCCATCTCAAGCTCAGTGCTTGGCACATAGGAGATGTTTGATCGATATTTGTTGAATGAATGAATAAATTGAAGTAAATTGGGAATGTAATTTGTCTGTGACTAGTAATAATAACTCATTCTTGTATTCACCTGGGTCTTAAAATAATTTTATTGTATTTTACATACCATAAAATTCACCCACTCAATTCTTATTAACGTTTTCTTCTCTCTCATTTTGCATGTGAAGGTCATTTTTCCTGATGGCAAAATGAAAAGAAAACAGAAGTAGAATAAGGGAAATCGCAGATTTAAAAAATGCACTCTTTAGTCTCCAAATACCAGAGTTTCTCAGCTTTATTTTTCAATTGTGACCTTACGCAAATTCACTTATCTAAGCCTTAGATTGTGACTTGCACTAATCAAGTGTTTTCACCGTGTTCCCTATGGGGAGGGATGAGATGCCATGTAAAAGATGCACCGAGGAGGTAATACCAAAAATGTAAATCCTCCCCCTTCTCTCCCGATCTGCTTACTCTGAATCTTCTATTCCATAACTGTATTCTTTCACCATAGCTATTATTTTCTTCTGAGCCTATCTCCCCCCCTCCCCACCCCTCACCAATATCCAAACTTCTAGCTTTCTTATCCTTACTATTTCTGCCAGGCCTTGCTTCATTCGGTGGTTTAAGCTTTCCTGGCATTATCCCTACAGATTTAGTCCCTCTTTTATTTGTATTTTTCGCCGTCTTTTGAATATGCTGGTTTAAAAGGAGGAAAAAAAAATCCCACTCAAGATGACTAGAGAAAAGCGGTTTTAGTTGCCGTTTCCTTTGGAGTATGGCGAAACCCAGAATTTTATGATTCCAATCCTCTGTTCTTTGAAGAATGGTTTTCCTTGACAGCCCCTTGTCTCAAAATTCTCCCTATCCTTTTCTCGGATGTGCTTCCCATGGTCTTCCATCGCCTTGCTTCTGTGTCTTGTATGGCAGCCACATCTCCCCCATGCCCATGACCAACCAATTCTTCTCCGGGGAGTCACATTACATCAGCATTACTAATGCAATATCTGTTAGACACCAGGTTTTTATTCTGGATCACCGGTCTGATTTAACATGGAGGATGGACTGCCTCAGGGCCAACGCAAACCGCTGCGAGGTGGAGGGGGACAGGGATGTACACCCCACCATAAATCTATACCTGTTGAATCTGTGCGTGCTCAAAGGCTTCCGAGACCCCCACCCGAGCTTTGTGAGTGATTTGAGATGGCAGAGGACGGGTTTCCAAGCAATGTCGCCCAAACTCGAAAGGCTTCGTCACACACGCCTGACCGCTCCATACACTCCAAGCACCCACCGACAAAAACCATCTCCTCCGCCACCAGATTATCTCACCGGGCGGGCGAGCCGGGCCGCAGGGTTTGGGGGCCGGGCCGTACCATTGGCGCGGCGCGCGGGGGGGTCCACGCCCTCGGGCCGGCGTCTGGCCGCGTCCCCCTGCTTGGTTTGGCCCCCGCTCCCCCCCGCGCAGGCAGCCACGGTGCGCCAGGCCGCCGCTTTATAGCGGGAGCCTGGGCGGCTCCGCTCGCTGTTTTCTCCTCTTCCCTGGGCTGAGGCACCTGCGGCGGTTGGCGAAGATGCAGCTGAAGCCGATGGAGATCAACCCGGAGGTGAGAACCGGGGGCTCCGCTGCCCGGGGAGCGCCCGGCGGGCGGACGGACGCCTGGCCACCGCTTCCCACCCCAATTGTGTGTTTTTTGTTTTTCCTTTCAGATGCTGAACAAAGTGAGTAGCGCCTCGAGCTGCGCCCGTCTCCCCCGGTGTCGTCGGGCTGGGGAGGCGCCCACCGAGCCACCCAGCGCCCGGCAGTGGTCGCCGGTCTCCGGGCCTCAGGGTTTCGGAAGGGTGGGATGGAGAGTGGGATGCAGCGGGAGGCGGCTGCGCCGGGAAGCGCTCCTGAGGGCGTGGCGCGCGCGCACTCCGCACCCGGGCTTCGTGGGCGCCACGTGGGGGCCGCGCTTTGTGCTGTGTCATTGCGCCCGCCGGGGCGTGGGGGCGGCGGGGCAGCGGGCGGAGGGGCGTGGCCTCCACGGCTCGGGTGGGGACGTGCAGGGCGCGCGCGCGCGTGTGCGCGCGTGCTGGCCCCGCCCCCTGGCAGGTGTCGTGACCCTGCGCCCTCCCCTCCTCCCCTCCCCTCCCCTCCCGCGCATCGGCCCCGCCCTGTCTCCCCTCCGCCCAGGTGTTGGCCCGGCTGGGGGTCGTCGGCCAGTGGCGCTTCACCGACGTGCTGGGCCTGGAGGAGGAGACTCTGAGCTCGGTGCCATCACCTGCCTGCGCCCTGCTGCTGCTCTTTCCTCTCACGGCCCAGGTAGGGAGTGAAGCCCCCGGTGGGCGGGATCTGGGACATAGTATGATGCTCCTCAAACCCCAGTGGGTCATGGAGGGGGTTTCCTTTCTGGACATATCCGGGCGCCAGATCTAGCTAATCCGCACCCCACCTGTAGGGGGTAAAAGTCAAGGCTTCTCAAGAAGGGAGGTGCCTGCAGGAATGAAACACTTTTTGGGGGATGCCCCTTTGAACTAAGCTAATTACATCCTTCGCATCCTTACCCATTTGTCCAAAATTGCCTTAATTTGGGAGAGTAGGAGCCTACTTCTCCCAATTCAATTATCCCTGTCATCCAGAGAGATAATTCACCCTGTAAACCAGTTTGCCTTCATTAGGTTTGTCTGAGCCTTCCACTTGGGGACTGCTGGCTGTTTCCTTTTAAGGGCTGTAAACTGTCAGTTCCTTGTTTGTTTCTTAGACTCCCACCTAGCTGTAAAATGGAGGAGGCTGGGTTTGCCTGAACATAACACAAAAGGTTCAGTTGAGCTCCATTTCCTGTTTGTAATGAATTTAGGGGACCCCCTCACTCCTTTACCCCTAGACACTCTCCTGAATGTGTACTGAATCATTTGTATAGGGTTTCTGTATGGGATCGTCTGTCTACTACCTGTACTCTTTGTCTCTGACCTTGTAGCTGGGTGACATTGGTGGTTATTAGCACAATCTTGCTAACACATTTTTCTTTTGTTTGAATGGTTTTCCTTCTACAATTATGAATGAATATATGTGCCTCAAAACTGAGCATCTTATAAAAACATCCAGTTGGATATTTATTGTCTTGGAGTGTGGGGAGTCCAGGTAATGTCTCACTGCTGTTAGCATTTGGGGCACCAGTGAGGTTAACTGAAGTGTAAGAATCTAAACCAAGCTGTATGAGAAATTTCCCCGCCTTTCTACTAAACGGGCTAAGTATTAATAGGTTAAAATATTTATTACAGGAATTAGGATTATGCCAGTGGCAGGTTTGACATTTGGATAAAATTGTAAATCTTTGTAGGTCAGACTCACTGTCTTGACCAACTCAAATGTAATCTTCTGGTTTCCCACTTGAGCATCTCTAGGAGCTTTTTCATTAGAGGAACCATGATGACTCGGAGGTTTTGAGCAGCACTCAGGCAAGGCCTCTGGGAGGCAGTGGTGCAGGATATTTGCCTTAAAAGCTCACAGGGCTTCTTTTGCGGCCTCAACTGGATCTTTTTAGAGAACAGTCTGGTATGAATAATGTGTGTTTTGTCCTTTAGCTGCATTTAAGTCTGTCAAATTTATCGAGCTTTTATTCTATACAGAACGCCTACTGGACATTCAAGCACTGAAGGAAATTTAGTGAAAAGTGAGGATTATAGGTTGACTTCAAGAGCAAGCTAATGATAATTTTAAAAGCATCTAATTCAGACTAGGGCATTGGGAACTTTCATGCCAAGCTCAGTCCTTTTAAATGATGGTGAAATATTTAGAGAAGGGTCTCCATGCGAGACATTAAATAATCCTAAGATTGCTGCCATGTAAAATTTTTATCTGATTAGCCTGGAAAGATTAAACCCCTTAACAGTCAATAAGTGACAACTCAAGAGTCTGGGAGTAAGCAAGATTTTCTTACTAGATGGGGTTGAAGTTGAGCTCTGTGGCACAGACCAGCTTTAAAACTTCATTCATGTGCAGTAATGCAAGACTACTAGAATGTCCCACTATGCAAATGTGTTATCCAAGTCCTAACTTCTCATGTCTTAGATGAAAGCTGTAGACAGACTCACTGTATCCCTGTGTAAGTAGCTAGAACATTCTATCTTTCTTGCGCTTGAAGTCACATCTTTTCTTGGAGGATGAGAAATTTTTTGTAAAGCCACAGTCTCCTGTACCCAACACTGGTTGTATTCTCATTCTAAAATGATGAGGAAGAAGAAATTGTTCATTTTTTTCACTTAATGGCTTCTTTGCTTGTTTTGATTCTAAAGAGATAGCTAATTGGACAGAATAGAAGTGTTACACAATAGTGAAATGAAAACAGCTGGAATTAAAATTGGCCACTAAATCGTTCATAGTTTGATTAGGATGCCTATGTACAGTGCAGTCATTGGTATTGATAAAAGGAAAATAATAAATGGACTTTTTTGCTTTCTGACATGACACATTCATCTCAGACTAAAAGGTTGCAGTCTAGACAGCTTTGGGCAATATCCAACAAAGCAGCATCTGCACTGCAGCACAGGGTGGAGCCTAGGGACCTCAGAGACATGGGGTGGAGCCTACGGGCCTCAGAGCCCACTGGCGCCAGACAGAATATGCTCTGGATATTGGCCAGCAATTAGAACCAAGGCTCTGGGTCACACCTCCCCCTTGTGTTTCCACATAGGTGGTAGAATGCACTGTGGTGCCATTTGTCCTTTGCATTTTCGAGAGGTAAATGTTTTTTTTTCCCCCTTCACAGCATGAGAACTTTAGGAAAAAACAGATTGAAGAATTGAAGGGACAAGAAGTGAGTCCTAAAGTATACTTCATGAAGCAGACCATTGGGAACTCTTGTGGTACAATTGGACTTATCCACACAGTGGCCAATAATCAAGACAAATTGCAGTTTGGTACGTGTGACATTACAGCAGGTCATCCTCTAAAAAAAAAGCATGGAATTTAGTTACTATAACACTTTATGACAAAAATCTCCAGGGTTTTTTTCAGCAAAATCATTGTTTTAAAAATTGTTTTGTTTTAAAACTGTTCACTCATTACTTACCCAGCTATACTACATGAATTGAGTTTTTATTGTTTATTTGACAGGAAACTCATTTAAGAGGTGTGCTCAGCTGCCTCTCTGGTAGACCCTTTTGTTCGTTCACAGACTCATGAGGGTGAGGTAAAGGAAGAAAGTACTTGAGGGCCAATGGTGTAATCATTCTCACCTGTTTCTTTTGAATTCTCAATTTGGAGCTAGAGGTGATGCTAATCAGAAAATGCCCACAGCTAAGGCCTGTCATTGATTTGTCTTCTAAGCAATGGGGAGACCAGAATAACTTGACAGCAGCTACCTGATGGTATGGAGGTCCTGGGGCAGCAAGCCAGAGCCTTAAATATTGTACTGTGAATGAACTTTGCCCACCCCTAGTGAATACTGTGTATGATATGGGGAAGCAAGTGTGAGCCCTTGAGCTTGACAGAGGCAGAGTGAACAGTAAGTGGGTCAGAGTGTCGTGGCAGTTACATGTGATCTAGAATAAGTAGGCAAATGTTTCTTAAAAGGTTAATAATAAACCTTTTAGGATTCTCATCTAACTATTTTAGCTCAAAACCAGTCAGTCATAAATGTAAACCGGTAGATGTAGCAGTGTTTACAGAAATGGTGATAGTGGTTTAGACAATGGCTGGGAGGTAGGGGTGAGGAGGCTACCCTGTCAATTGTAGCAGGTTAGATAAATAGCTGGGTATGGTGGTGTTTGCCTGTAGTCCCAAATACTTAAGGCATATGGGTAGGGAGGTAGCCCTGTTACTGGCAGCAGGTTAGATACAACAGCTAGGCATGGTGGTGTGTACCTATGGTCCCAGCTACTTGGGAGGTTGAGGCAGGAAAGTTGTTTGAGCCCAGCCCAAGGCCAGCTTAAGCAACATAGGCAGAGACCCTATCTCAAGAAAAATTGGGTTGGGAATATAATTAGGTGGTAGAGCTCTTACCTGTCTTGCATACAATCCTGGGTTCAAATGTACACTTGTGTGTGTAATTTGTGTGGGTGTGAATGTGTGCGCATGCCATTCCTGGGACTTGAGCAATAGCTCTACATCTGACTTTTTGGTGGTCAGTTGGAGCTAAGGGTCTCATGAACTTTCTTGCCCAAACTGGATTAGAACTCCAGTCTTACAATCTCAAGTCTCCTGAGTAGCTAGGATTAGAGATGTGAGTCACTGATACCTAGCCTGTGTAATTTTTATTAAAGCAAATAAGGTCCAAGACTCTTGGTAGCCTTCTGATATTAAAGATGACTTGTCTGGCCATAAATTCCTAAATCTTCTAGAAGTTGCTTTTCCAGATGTTCATTTGATCTACATTAAAAAGTTGCAGCTCAGTCAGTTACCTGTAATCCTAGCTACTAGTAGGCTGAATCTAAGGATCACAGTTTGAAGCCAGCCTGGGCAAGCCCATGAGACTGTTACCTCCAGTTAACCACCAGAAAACCAGAAGTAGAGCTGTGGCTCAAAACCACAGAAAAGCTAAGGGACAGTACCAGGACCCAAGTTCAAGTCCCATGACTGACAAAGTTTCAGCCCAGTTTTTTTCTATTCTATAAAACGCACTTTATTTAGAATTCTGTGTTCCCAGGGTCAGATTAAATACTCTAATTTTAAAACTATGGTAATGTTGTTGTCAGTGAATTGATTCAAATCTCTTCTTAGAGCTTTGAATGGGTGTGTGTAGAGGTTTCTGGTGCTGGGGATTTGAACTCAGCTCTGTGTATAGTATCTTAGGCAAGCTCTCTAATACAGAGCTATACCCTACTCCAGATTTTTAAGTTTGTAGTTGAAGGTTCAAGCTGAGGTCTTCTGAAGTGGGAGTTGCCCTTGCTGTTGGGGTGCCTCCTGCTTTATCCACACTGAGCACGAACAGGGCTTAACACTGACAAAGCCAGTGGCTACTATCTTGTAAGCCAGATTCTATAGGTGTTCGTGTATCTGTGTAAGATCCTCATGCTAATATCTGTCTGGATAACTGAGTTACTGAGACTGAATTTTCTACCCTGAAGTAAAAAAATCTTGCTTTAGGAACTGTTAATTCAACTAAAATGTTATTTTAGTATCATATAGACAATAGATGTTAGTTGTATGATATTAAGTGCTATAGCTACAGCAGTAGACAAGACAGATCTGCCTTTGAGGCACAACATTCCACAAGTACATGTTCTAAATAAATACTGGAAGAAATGAGAGGTGGGAGGGATAAGATGTTTGGGATGGCAGCAACGAGAAAGAGCTTTGTATTCTAGAAGAATGGAGAGGTCTGCCTGTCTTGAAAGAGAGGCAGGCTGGAAGGAAGGACTGTTCATCCACGTCCATGGAGACCACTTTGAAGATGAAGATGCTGTGAAAGCTTTGGTCAGAAATATCATGGATCCATTTGTAGTATTTTGTCTGAACCAATGTCTGCATTTTCTTTTTAAAGAGGATGGATCAATCCTGAAACAGTTTCTTTCTGAGACGGAGAAGATGTCCCCTGAAGACAGAGCTAAATGCTTTGAAAAGAATGAGGTATGAAGAACTTCCAGAGCATTGCTTTGAAATTACTGTGGAGAGCTTTGTGTTGATTTTTTTCTTTTTCCGCAGGCCATCCAGGCAGCCCATGATGCCGTGGCACAGGAGGGCCAGTGTCGGGTAAATGAAAGTCTACATCTGAGTCTGGTGCTGCCTGTGTTTCCGTTGGAATAGTTGCAGGATTGGATATAAAGTTACCTACTCAGGGCCAAATGATGACAGAAAATGATACTTTGACTAGCTCAGTTCCCCAAAATGTGTCTTCAGAAATTGAATTGGTAGTTAAAATAATGTGTAATTCAAACCAATAGTATTATGTGTAGATGCATATGAGTTTTACAGAGTAATTAATACCTCTGTTCATAATTAGCATCCCACCTTTCAAAGCCATGTGAGGAGAGTAAAATGTAATAACAAGACTCTATTCTAAAAAGATTTAAGTGAGGGCTGGGAATGTGGCCTAGTGGTAGAATGCTCACCTAGTATGCACGAAGCTCTGGGTTTGATTCCTCAGTACCACATACACTGTGGCTCAAGTGGTAGAGTGCTAGCCTTGAGTACAGAGAGGCCCAGGGACAGCACCCAAGTCTTGAGTTCAAGCCCCACAACCAACCAAAAAAAGAGCTTTAAATGTACCATAATGGGGACCCGGGGATGTAGTCCAGTGATTCAGCTTATGCATAACATGCAAGAGGCCCTGGGTCTAGTCCCCAGCACCAGAAATGTAAATAGAACAAACAGAACTTCTTCAAGGAAACTGCCTTAATAACCTCTCTTTAGGTATGACCTTTCCTGAGATAAGCCTGAATTTTTCCTTATCAAGAAAAAACATGACATAGCAGTAACCAAAAAGCTAGGCTATCTTAAGGATTCCAGCATTTCTGCCTTAGAAGGTTTAGACTTGGGCCCTGTTCATAGGAAATTCATGACTATGAGCTGTAATACTTCTTAAGAAATAAGCAAACTGTTTCATTCTAAAGTTTATTTTAATAAGTTCATATAACTCCCATTTTCAAAAATTTCTTGAACTTTTCAGGTAGATGACAAGGTGAATTTTCATTTTATTCTGTTTAACAATGTGGACGGCCATCTCTATGAACTAGGTATGTATCACTCCATTTTGAAACTCAGTATGTTTTCCTGCATTCTTTGATGCAGTATGGTGTATGCTGGTAGTACTTCACTGTTTGAAGCCAGAGAAGGAGAGGCCAGCCAGTGGGCCCTTAACTATCTACAATACCCACAGAACTTAGGCTACTGACCTACTGAATGAATGCCTTTAGTTACGAAGCAGTGAGGACTCCAGGCAGCCACACTTCCTCTTCCTGGCTCTCCATAGCATCTCCTAGGCCATCCTTTCAGACAAGGATCAGTGTCTGGATGACCTTGTTTGTATGAATTTGGATGTTATAATTATTTCTGTTTTATATTAATGGAGAAAGACTCAAGTTGAGACATCACTTATGGATGGACTCATGGGGTACCTGGTAGTCATAGGAGGGCAAGTGAGCTCTCAGAGATTTCTTCTTGCCTTTCCCCAGAGACCAGCTGACTTTTGCTCTGTAGTGCTTCCAAGATTTGGCATGATTGCTTCTATTAAGATCTGGCTTGGATTTGCGTGGTGCCATTAGTTACAGACTGACCATGCCTAGAGTGGATACTTAGGGACTCTTGAGCCTCTGTAGCTTATTTCTTCACAACCAAACCTTCAAGTTTCTTCATATGTTCCTTGATGGGAGTACAGTGGTTTTTGGAAGAATTTACAACTTCCCTTTAGGTTGGCCTGAAAATGCAGGAAATTTGACATGCCCAACTTCTTTGTTGTAGATGGACGAATGCCTTTTCCGGTGGACCATGGCGCTAGTTCCGAGGACTCCTTGCTGCAGGTAATCCTGGGACACCCCTCCCATATTTTCCAGCCACATTGTCTAATGTGCTGACACATTCAGGGCTGCCAGCATCTATTTTCTGGGTTAATAGTCTTTAGGGCTTAAAGATCATTTCAGTAATTCTACCCATCTTGTCTTACAGCAAGTGGCTTTTAAACAGGAGCCTTCAAAGAAGCCCTGAATAATGTGTTTTATGTGTTCAGTCCACAGTTAGAATTAGCTGGAAACCATTGCCTTGTTTCCCTGTGGGATTAAGGTGATCACTGTCGCCCTGTCAGTTTACATTGTTGCGGAAGACTGAGATTAACAGTCCTCCGAGCCTTCCCAATTCTCTTTTAAGATCCTTAGTTTTTGGTCAATCTGATAGGTAGTGCACTAAGGATTCTGGTTAGGTAAATTTCACGTGTTTGTTTCCACATGGCTCTCTGTTGCAGAAGGGAAAAAGAAACTGAAAAACATGACTGACAAGATCCTGGATAGCCATCCTGGTAGAAATGACTACCAAAACCTCTTGATTCTGGATAAGAGGGAGGTTCACTATAGACCGTTTCAACCTAAAGATGAGTCTAGAATAGAATCAATTTGCTTGTATAGAGGAACATTTCTTAATTATACCATTCAGTTCTCTTGAGATTTGAGAGAAAGAGTGGTTTAGTTTACTTGCAAAAAAAATGAGGCAGAGGCAAAAACCCAGAAGCACTTGGTGGAAATAGAAGGGAGTCAGCTTGTGCAGGAAACAGGTGATGTGCTGTCTAGTGACACTTGTTTTCTCTTGTCTTCATCCCTGGTTCTCAAGGTTAGTGAGGGATTTGCAGTTGGGTTAGGGTAAACTGAACATGACCAGGTCTTGGAAGTGGTTTCCCTTTGAAATATGCATTCCTAGCTGGTTTTTGTTTGGATATTAACATCATTCCTTCTTTTCAGGATGCTGCTAAGGTCTGCAGAGAATTCACTGAGCGTGAGCAAGGAGAGGTTCGCTTTTCCGCTGTGGCCCTCTGCAAGGCAGCCTAAGCTCTGTTGGAAGGGCCTGGCTGTTCTGTCCCATAGCCTGAGCGCACATTCCTGCCCAAGCAGCCTACTGTGCTTCAGTCCTTGTAAACTCAGCTGTCACCTTCTTTCATGCTCCCTTACACCCCAGCACTAGCAGAGCTCTCCTGTCCTGAGCCAAGTTGGTGTGGGCTTCAGCTGTGATTGTTTCCCCCCCCTGTGTGTCTGTACTCTAGCACCTAAAGCTGTCAATGGCTACTTTGGGTTATGTGTAGTTAAAGCCTTGGATGTGGTTTGTTTGTCCTTAAAAGGAATAAAAGACTTTTCTGCTCATAAGAGATAAGCTTAAACTCTTCATTTTCTCTTAGCCTCCTCCCTACTTTATCCCAAATTGTTGGGGTTTGGACTCAGGGCTGTGTGTTTACTAGGCAAAGCTGGCTACCACTGGAGCCATTCCTCCCCATTCCTTTTTTTGGGGGGGAGGATTTGGTTGTGGGGCCTGAATTCTGGGCTTGGGCACTGTCTCTCAGCTCTTCAGTTCAAGGCTAGCACTCTACCACTTGAGCCACAGCACCATTTCCGGCTTTTTTCATTTTGCTTATGTGGTGCTGAAGAATCGAACCCAGGGCCTCAGGCATGCAAGGCAAGCGCTCCACCACTGAGCCACCTTCCCAGCCCCTCCCCCCTCCTTTTTTTTTGTATTGGTTATGTTTTATTTTATTTTTTTGTCAGTTGTGAGACTTGAACTCAGGGCCAAAGCACTGTCCTTGAGCTTTTTCACTCAAGACTAGTGTTCTACCACTTTAAGCCATCACTTACAGTTTTCTGGTGGTTAATTGCAGATAAGGTAGACTTTCCTGCCTGGGCTGACTTCAAACTGTGATCCTCAGATCTCTGCCTCCTGAGTAGCTAGGATTATAGGTGTGAGCCACTGGCACCCAGCTTGCATTGGTTACTTTTGAGATAATTTTACTTCTTGCCCAGGCATGTGACTGGACTGAGATCCTCCTATTTTACACTTTCCTCTATTGTAGCTGGAATAACAGGTACAAGTCACCACATCCAGCTTCTTCTATCCATTGAGATAGTCTTGCATACTCTTTTGCCAGGATTGGCCTGGAACTGCAATCCTGATAGTCCTGCACTACTGGCTCATTGTTTTGACAGCAGTATATAAATATGTATACTGTACACACCAGTTTAACATACAAAAATCTAGAGACACTGACTATAGAAACTAATTTTTAAATATTAGGCAAGTTTAAGAACAATTTTAAGCTCATAGAAAAATTGACATTCTAGTTGTAAGCCCAGAGTTCTCCTGTTTCCACAAATGACTCAGTTTTCTGCTTCTGTGTTAGTATGGTATGTTTGTTATAATTCACGAACTAATAATACCCTAGCAGAGCTGTCAACTAAAGACTAGCTTATTTCTTACTGAATATCGTCTTCATTCTAAGAGCCCATCATGTTTAGCTGGCATCTACCTGCTTTTGAAAGTTGTATCTATTTCTCCAACTTGTTTTTGATGACCCTGACATTGAGGAGTACGGGGCAGATGTTCAATTGATATTTGTTTAATGTCTTTTTTTTTTTTAATGTAGGATCTGACTTTGTAATCCAGGCTGATCTCAATGCACAATCTTCCTGCCTCGGCCTCCAAAGTGCTAGGATTACAGATGTGTTTCCACCACACTATGTCAGATGTACTGGTACTTAGACTAGGGCAATGGGTTTTACCCAGGAAAAGTGGCATTTTTATTATGCATATAATATATACTACAACAGCATGATTCATTACTTTTAGTATTGACCTCTATCATCTCCCTGAGGGTGCTGCTAGCCAGGTTTCTCCATGGCAGAGTTGCTATGCTGCCTCTCATTGCTGTTCACCTGGAGGGAAAGTCCTGTAGAGTGTCTATGCAGTGTACTTGGAATTCTTTGTGTGTGTCTTTGTGTGTGTTTGTGTGTGTGTGTTGGCCTTTTTATTCTCAGACCAGCCTGGACCACACTTTGTATTTATGCTTCCTATCATAGGTAGGAATAACAGATGTGTACAGCTTTTTCTGTTGAAATGGAGTCATGTGAACTTTTTTAAGCTGGCCTGTAATCATGATCCTCTCAATTTATACTTCCTGAGGATTATAGGGGTGAGCCACTTAATGTATCACATTTTCTTCTGTTTACAACTTGTGTTTTTTGTTGGCTGGTCCTGGTGGAATGCTCTTTGCTTGGCTTTCTTCTTAAGGCTACCACTCAAGCCATACCTCCCCTTCTGGCTCTGCTGGTCAGAGATAAGAGTCTCAGGGACTTTTCTACCTTGCTGGCTTTGAAACTTTATCCTCAGATCTCAGCTTCCTGAGTAGCTAGGATTATGGCATGAGCCACCAGTGTCTGTCTTAGTTTCAACTTTTAAGGGCTGGCCAATCTAGGATCTTCAGAAGAAAGTGATCATGTCTACATCCTACTACTGTAAGCATATGATTTAAGTGATCCTGGTTGCTTGTACTTGAAGTTAGAGGGACTCATTTTAAAGTTTAACTTGGCGCATTACTTATGATCACTTGGGATGATTTAGGATAAGGGAAACAAAATAAGATTCCTTCCTGTTATAGGAGCTGGTAGATTGTTTTTAATTCCAGAAGTACAATGACATTCTTTTTTTTTTTGTCAGTCGTGGGTCTTGAACTCTCAGCCTGGGTGCTGTCCCTCAGCTCTTCAGCTCAAGACTAGCACTCTATCACTTGAGCCACAGCACCACTTCCAGTTTTCTGGTGGTTAATTGGAGATGAGAGTCTCATGGACTTTCTTGCCCAGGCTGGCTTTGAACCACGATCCTCAGATCCCAGCCTCCTGAGTAGCTAGGATTACAGGCGTTAGCCACTGGCGCCCAGCACAAATGACATTCTTAAACGCAGCTCTACGACTATGTAACTGACTTCAACTATAACATGCTTTATTTAGCATTGGTCACATCATGGAAAGTTATTCCATAGCTAACATGGGGATCATTGCAACCCCAGAGATGCAGAAGAATTCCATTTTTACTGAGGAGATGGAGGTGAGGCTCTATGCTGAAATTCTCATCCCAAATCAATAGGTGAACCAGGGCCTTCAATCTGGTTTAGGAATCACAAAGGGCTATTGAATTTACCTTTCACCTGTTTCTATCTCAGGACATTTGGACAAAGACATGACAGTCTATCATATGTTAAAATAGATAGTGGGGAATTGGGGATTTAGCTCAGTGGTAGAACAAAGCACAAAGCCTTGGGTTTGATCCTCAGCACCAAAACAGTAAAAAGTTAAGTCCATGTTTGGTGGTACAGGCCTATAATCATAGCACTCAGAAAGCTGATGCAAGACAGTCACAATACCAGCCTAGACTACAGAGTGAGTCTCAGGCTAGCCTGAGCAAGTGAGACTCTGTCTCAAAGAAGAAAAAGTAGAGACTAAATACGCTTTGGAAGGGCTTGGGCTCCAAAAGTCCATGTAATGCCACCCTCTATCTTCCACACTGCTGTTCTGAACCCTCAACCACTACATTCTGCCTGCTTTGAATTCCATGTGAAAACAGATCCCCAAGGACTACGGGACTCTGCATGCTCCTTGAGTAACTATCTCAATTGGATGTTAGCTGTTAAAGGGGATTGGGGGTCAGATGTGGTGGTGTGTTCCTCTAGTCTCAGTTGCTCTGGAGGCTGAGGCAGGATGGTCACCTGAGCTCAGGAGTTTAGGGAGAAAGGATTGAGAAATGTGTGCATGTGTGTTTGAACCTTTATGAAGAAGAGAGAAAGAGAAGCAGAGAAGTCTCAGCAGAGGACTTAGAACTGATAATGTTCCACCCTATGACAAAATAACAGTTTTGGGACAATCCAAGACACTTAATGGTTTCCCAGAGTATGCAGAAGTTCATCCCTTTAAACTGACCCCAAATCAGGTTGTATATTCATACATCTTCCCTTTGGGAAATCAGATGATTTCCATAGTGTTAATCATCGTCTTTAAAGGAGGCCTGAAGGAATTCATGTCACACATTAGCATGTTATATTTGTGGGAATTAATGAGCTAGTTGGTGTATTATTATTAACCAAAGTCTATATATTATACAGTATTTCTTTAGTTTTCCCTAATGTCCTTTTTCTGTTCTACAACCCACCCAGGGCTCCACATAACATTTGATTGTCTCCCTTCCCTCTCCTTAACTACGTACTAAGCCTAATTTTGTTGTTCAGGTGCCATTTTGGCTTTGTCTCCAGAAGATTCTGCTTGCCCTTAGTCTCCTGAGGACCCTATCCAGGCAGCATGCTCTGGCTGAGACCTGGGCTGTGCCTAAGCTCTACCCTTAAACCACTGGGGTCTTGTGGCCAACTGAACCCTGAAGTCTTGATTTCCTCATTCAGAGCAAGGACAAAATTTGCTTCATAGGCTTGTGGTGAGAAGGCCATGTGAATACTCGTGAACTTCCTGGGGATGCTCTTGGAATATACTAAATGCTATTGTATTGGGTTAGGAATTAGCTCAGCAGCAGAGGGCTTGCCCCATATGGATGAAGTGGGAGATTGAATTCCTAGAATGGCAAAATAGCAGTAATTGTCATTGTCTTAGGGTCACTGCTTTATCACCACCTCTCTTCTCTGTGTCCCTCTCTTTTCTTCATCCTTAATCCTAAAGCACAAAGTGTCCTTTCTGTTTAATGCCAAACCAGGCTTCCTTTCCTTAGGATTAAAAAAAAAATCCTTGTTTTCACTGTATTTGTTTTTGGTACCTTGCATCTTGTATATACATTTATCTAATTTGGGGAGGGGAAGGGGAAATAACAAAATGCTAAAACAAGGATATAGGATGACCCATTGCAACAAGGATACTCAGAAGACACTATGTTGGAAATGAACCTTATAACTTTGGGTTACGGGGGGTGGGATGGGGAGAGGAGTGGAAGAGGTAGGGGAGGGGAGGGGAGGGGAGGGAAGGATAGTGGGAGAAAAAGGAAGGGGTAACAATGCCTGACAAGAAATATACTCACTACCTTACTGCTGTAACTGTAACTTCTCTGTGCAGCATCGTTACAAGAAAATAAACTTTAAAAAAGTCCTTGAAGCTGTAGCTCCTAGTCCATTAAATGGCTTGTTCTTTAAAGTGCACATTCTTGATTAGGACATGAAGTTTATAAATATATATTTGCTCTTTTAAGGATGCTAGTTCTCTCTCTTCCCCTCCCCCCTCTCTCTTTAGTTATAAAGAAAATAGACTTGCTTTGGCTTGCAGTTCTGGTCCAAAGTCAAGGGGCCACATCTGATGATGGTACTGTTAGTGGCA